TCTCCCGTCTGCCGCTCTTTGAGTGGTGACTGGCTTTAATTTCTTGGTAGTTGTTCTAGAGCTACTCGGATGGTCGACTGACGTGGCAGAGGTTCTTCCTCGCTTGCCGCTCTTTTCCTTTTCATACAGGAATTACTTCTGTACGGCCCATGAGCCGAAGAATGTCTTCTGTAAGGTACCAGATATCTTCAAAAAAAAAATCCCAAAAAAATTGGGACCGCATTGATAAGTGATTGGTGTCTGTAGTGGCTTCCACGTTTCACGATATCTGTTGTGAGTGTTGTTGTATATTAAAAGTCTTTAATTGGTTTGATAATATTAATTTGTTTGTCAAACGGATTACTAACCGAGTCCAGCCCGCAGAATCTTTCAAAGGACCACCTCATTTCAGGACTAGCTCCGAAAATTTTCCACTTACGAAAATCGTCAATGAGCAGTATTAGGCCGGAATGGGCTCTCACTTTTATTGATCCCTTCATGGAATTGGGAATGAAGGATCTGCTACAGCGTAATCGTAAAAACAAAAACGCTAGGAGGAGAGAAGGCTATCGAAACCACATTATATGAGCCAATACAGAATTTGGGAAAAAAAAAATTAAAAAAATGTAGTCTTATGCAACAAGATTTACTGTATTTGTAGTCGTAGTTGGTTGAAATATATACTCTCGTAAAAAATATTAAGTACTGCTATGCCAACAGCGTGCACATACCAAAAAACTGATAAAAGTGAAATAAATTGAAAAGCAAATCCATTAAATGAGGGAGGTGGTTTGTTTTGCCTCTCACTCAGACGAACCATTGATTCCGCCAATCCCATGAGGCTCTTCGGTGAGTAGAGGGATGACAGCTGTTTTGACGGTTGAGTGGTTGAACTCTCGAAAACACGAATCTCATACTTAATTATTTATTGAACGACATCACCTACATGAAATCACGATGTGACTACTTTACAATTTGAATCACCATGGCAGTGACTTGCGTATTGACTACCCTCTTGCCTTCTTGACCACCGGATACTGGGATCGGCGGGTACGCCGGCCGTGTCTTGCTTGTCTTGTTGAATCTTGGAATTGTTAGCAGGACGCTTGGATTTTACAGGCTTTGTGCATCCTCATTTGGTTGTTTTCTGGGCGACCGGAGTCGCCTGGTCGCTTTAGGTTGGATTGGAGGCATTCACCGAGATGCTCGCCCCTTTGAAAAATTTCCGCCTTCGCGAATTTCAAATGAATATCGCATTAGGGCGAGCTTTCTTTTTGAAGATACTACTGTGAAAGTTACCAACAATCACTTACGCTACCCCCTTATCGCTCCGTTTGTTCAGCTTTTGGATTTAGTATCCATCAGATGTTAACGCAGGTGACACGAGGTGTCGCCCATACAAGACGAAAGAATGATAACCGGGAAATGCGGCTGTTTGCGCGAGTTTTCTGGTGCAAAACGTAGTGGAAAGCACTTTAATAAGGTTGCAGTAATGGGGAATTCCTGATAATACACTAGTACCGCCTGTTCGCGGGCCCACCTTCAAGTCACTTTATTTTTTATTCATGACACATTGTATTTTACGAAGCGTTTTGATGGAAATGATGAAGTTGCTTGCAGTTGCCATGCTGGAAACAGCGATTACGATAGATTTCACAGGGGCTTAGAGGGGACGTGAGGGTCTCAATAGTAAGCCAGTGGCGAAAAAAGCAAAGAAATCCCTTTCATTTTCGACCATGGATGAGCGACGGTAAAGAACGACGTTGTTCGGACGTGTTAACCCCGATAGCCGCCATCATGCCAACAAGCATAGTGTTTTGATTGATAAGGCAATACGTGGGCAAGTTGGAAGATACAGCCGCTAGAAGGGAAATGATCATCCAAAATGAAAAGCCAACAGCAAACAGTCCATCCAGATCATCAACAAAACTAGTGGGCGTCACGTCACTGGGGGCGGGGCGTCACGCGGGTCCTGCTCAGCAACCACAGCACCTTTCGCCGTGGGAGGGCCACACATCGCTTCCTTGGCAGCCAAGTAATTGCTCCGTGTGGCGCAGGTTCTCCCCCGATGCGAAAATTCCTTATCGTAATCGCTTCCTTTAAGTAGGAAGAGTAAAAAAAAGGGTGGGGCACTATTGCCTTTACAACCTACGCAATTACAACCCCAGAGGGGTGAGATGGGTCAAAAAATAATTTTCGCTGAAACTTCTGCTATGGGGGTTATCGAGGGTCCTGATCACGAATATGACATCCATTTTTGGCGCTGGCGCCAATTGGCGCCACAACTGATTATCACCAAATTCGCTGTAAACTTCTGAATAGGGGTTATTTGGGGCCCTGATCACGAATATGACACTCGTTTTTGACATTCGTGCTGTTTAACGCATATTTTCTGCTTTTCTAAGCTTTCTCACCTATAGCGCCTAAGACTAAGCTTAGGGGAGGGGAGTGAAACTCCGGAGTGGGTAAACCACGCACCGTGTGGCAAAAGTTGGAGTGTGTCAGACCACAGGGGAGTGGCCTACTCACTTTGGAGCCCTCCACTACTCAAAGGCTTAGTCCTATTGCGATCTAATTAGTGCGAGGGCGCAGACGAGCAGGAAGCAGGCGCCGAATAGCGCTAACAACAAATCAGGACCCCGAATAACCCCTATACAGAAGTTTACAGCGAATTTAGTGGGAATCAGTTGTGGCGCCACCTGGCGCCGCCAAATTGGCGCCAGCGCCAAAAATGATATCATATTCGTGATCAGGACCCTCGATAACCCCCATAGCCGAAGTTTCAGCGAAAATTATTTTTTGACCCATCTCACCCCTACTGGGGTTGTAATGCTATTGAACCCGTTAGTATGAAGTTTTAGCGCTTATTTTTCTTCGACTGATAAACTTGTGTTTCGAGTCGAGGATATTAGGGACCTATGTCTCAGAAATAAAGGGGTGATGGTAATACTTTTTAGCTGAGAGGATGAATAGCCTGAAACCGGACCACTTTCGCCACAGAAGGATATGGATCCTATAAGGTGCTATGTGGATCCTATAAGGTAATGGCGTATGAAGGAACACAGGCTCCACAAGTCTTGAAGACAGGGAGAAAATCGTGTCGAGGACGTGGCCGCAGAAGTACGACCCCTCCCCTGAAATCGAGGTCTTGGCACGACCCCCCCCCCCCTAAAACAGAGCACGCAAAATCACAACAGCCGATCAACGGCCGATTCAACGGCAGCTGCGGCGCGATTTGTCACTGGGTCAGATTTGCTGAAATCCCAAAAAAAACGTCGAAATCTACACCCTCGATGAAAAGGTTCCATTCCTCCATTTCCCAACCTTTTGAACAGCACGCGGTAGGGTTAGATAGAGCTAGATTTGCTACTATCAGGCAGTATTGGAATTGCTATGAAAGCCTTCCATTCGAAGAGATATAGTCTCTCAAAATCCGTCGAGGGAGCGTCGAGGATGCTGAAATTTTCATGCGAGTTTTTGCCACTTAAAAGGCAATATCTATAATTTCGCAAGACCTCGAAAAAAAAACGGAGATATTCTTCAAACCGCAAGGTTTGTGCTTCCTAATAGTATGTTCAGGTTGGGAAGATCCCTTCCCCTTCTCCACCACTGCAAGTATAATTCATTGGCAAGGCTCGAAATGGTCTAGAATAGATTATCAACATTAGCAGTAAGAAAAGGGGCAATCATTGTCCGATTTTGTCTGAGTATAAGCCATGCATCCGACCTTCATTCAAAGTTGAGAACCCATCGAAAGGTGTTAAATGATCATGACCATTTGACAGAAGTTGCATTGTGATGAACACGTTTTGTAACTCCCATAGCTTGAGGAGTAGCTTCATCTGCAAAAGGTCTTTCAAGAACTATCGTCGTTTTAGCGACAGCGTCCCTAACAATAGTGTCATTCTCAACGAGGTATTAAGGGAGAAGGAGCGGGCGGTAGATGGGAGGTGCCTTTGCAGCAATGTGCCCATGTGACCCCATTCCTTGTGGAGATCTACTTTCATTGTACTGCTTTCAAATACGTCCTTGCTCTCAAGAGGAATGGAGCGACTGAATGCAAAGAATATTTATATCATTTTTCACATATCTTCTTTTCTGCTGCGCTACACCCTCTTACTCCTATCTGCACCACGATGCCACTGATGTTACTGACCCCCACGAGTACGACCCCCCATGACCCACCCTGACAAGTACGACCCCTGTCGAGGATTTCCTCGACCGATATTCACCCTGCTACGGAGTATCGGAAGGGTACGCCGTTGAAGTAGTGGAATGTGACATGTCCATGACACGGCTTCGCTTCTAACATATCGGTTCTCAAATTCACAGTTTTTCGTAACGCAACGCTTTGAACGAAGACGGCTCTGAACAGTTGGTGTATTTCAAACATCGACTTCTTCCCTGTCCAATGGTTGTGAAAAAATCAGTTTTGGTTGAGTGTGTATTTTCTCTTGTACCATTTCTAGGTTCTTTTTTTTTCTTTTCAGATTTTCTAGCCCGAACTCATGTAAGTAGAATGAAATGTTGATCTCAATGAGCGTTGGAACGACCCATTATCACAGCGTAATAAATGAAATGAGCAGACATCAGATAAGCCCCTCTAGTCCACTAATTCTACTTTTAACACGATTAGAAAGCAACTGCTCCTGTAGCCCTACAATACAACAGTTCTTCGTTAATGAAATCAATATTATATAACAATATCTCGATTTCGCCACACATAACATCGAAATGTGAGGACTTTTTACTTCATCTTAATAATATAAAGACTCGCACAAACGGACAACACTAGTCCATTGGGATTTGTGATGATTGAACACCTTGCCTCATACACACCCGAACTATGCACCTTCAATATAAAAACATCTCAAGGTTAAGCCATTATGACAACGCTACGATTATAGTCAGCAAGAGGAGATCCCAATGAAAAATACAAGGATTTCGGAGAGAATGCATCAAAAATGTTTAGTTTTATTGACTAATAATCCCTGAGAAGTACATCCATCAGATTATTGGAGCTATAAGAGCGTCTCGGAATCGTTGTTGTCTACGGACGAAACAGATTCCTTGAAATTCACTGTCGAGTCTACTCGACTCGGTTCTGGACTCTCATATGGTTGTGGAGATTGCTGAAAAGGAAACGTTTACTATATAGAACACCAGATTAGTCCCCCGTCAACCGCCGGGACCTTCCTTTGAATGCGCAAGCTTTACCAACACCTCCTGGAAGTGACGCGTATGCAACACAATGGTGTTTCATACAGTAGAAGGGACACAATCATGATATGACGGTAGATTTTTCGCTTCCCTTCCTCATCCTCCCTTCCTCTCTCCACTGCCCTCCAGCTGCCACTGCAGCACCATGTGGAATGAACGGAAGTGTGCTAAGCAGGTGTTTATATAGCCCTAAGAGTGTTATCACAACTATCCTGCTACAAAACATTGATATCTCAAATCCTGTAAGCTACCCGATTTGTTAGCGGTTTGTTTATCCCATGAGCTTCCTTCTCACTCACTTCATTTTGCGGACGGACACACATACACACACACACACACACACTCACACACACACATACAGATACACAAACCGACACACAAAGTTAGCGCTTTATATAATATAGAAGGATAAAATGTTTGATCATAAAAAAGCAGTAGTACTTAAATGTGCCTATACTATCTGCCGACCTGTAGGTCGTGAGTCAAGATACGAATGTTAAACTGATCCCTTAGGCCGATGTCAGACTTTGCGAATCGCGCGATTCGCTACTAGCGATTCGCGCGATTCGCTAGCGTCCGCGGTCGCGTTGCGGTACCAGCCAATTGAGTGATTCACTGGCCGCGACGCGACCGCAGACGCTAGCGAATCGCGCGATTCGCAAAGTCTGACATCGGCCTTAGAAATGAACGTAAGCTATTAGAAATGATTGGTAAGCTGTTGTGATGCAAAATGGCTAAAAACACACAAAACAGGGCCCCGTCAAATTTTGTTCGCAACCCAGCATTCTTGCGAAACAAAACAGAGCGTTTTTCGTCGATTTTCGCGCTAAGGCAGTGCCAACAACGCTGAATTTGCTCTGCTCTGCCTTTCTTCTGAAAGGCTCAGAATCCAGCGGTAACTTTCGAAGGCAGAGAGAGGGATGAGTGAAGCCACATTACGTCGCTAGGTACACTTCCGCGGATGCGCCACGTACAGTTCCTTCAGGAACCAACTCTTTATTTATTTTTTTATTTATTTATTACTCCACACTCTTCTACTCTTCCTTCACGGAGGGCATGTTCCGCATTTGCCTGTCAAATGTCAAACGTCAAATTTGCGGTGTCAAATGTCACCATATCTTTATTCCATATCACAGTGAGTTGCTCTTCTCTTTCCGAGTAACATCTAGCGGGTAACCATTAGCATATTTCTCGAGGTATCTATCCCATAATTGTTGTGGTGATGCACAAATCTCACAAAGCCAAACCACTTAAACCAGATTCTTTACCTCAGTACAGGTACTGAATAATATTCCTGAACCTTTGCGCATGCTGGTGAAATGCGGATGCATAAGCAAAGGTTTTTGACCCAAAAAAATTGTCGTATGGATTTAGATAGTCTTTCATTATGAAGTTAGAAAGAAACCCGAACTACTCTACAGTCTAATCTTGGCATCTAATGCTACACGTGTAAAATGGGCACAGGTGTCACCTGCCATGGACACGAACGCATAAATTAACGCATGCATCTATAAAGATGCCAGTGTATTCCATGCAACCACCTTCTTGGTATAAAATAATCAGCTGATTGTCAGTCACGGAGCCTTGTACTGCCATAGCTTCTTATTTATATGTGTTCAAAATACATTTGCAATGCTGAATGTTCTGAAATCATCAAACCCATTTATTCTCGGTCCTCCCCAAGCACGAAAACGCTTGACAGGAAGCTGAGGTTTTCTCTTGCATGGAAACAGACTGCCAGCGTGAGTCCAACACTACCGGTAACGTGACAGGTGCTGGCGCTTATTTGCGCCTCCGCTTTGCTCCTCAATCCAGAAATATTAGTGGTGTTTATGCACTTCTGTTCAATAAAATTGTGTATTCATGGCATGCTTGCAAATACACTGTATCCTCTGCATTGAAACGAATCGGACCTTCTCCCAGATGGCGGAAAGGAGCACAACATGAACCATACATAGTTCTTCTGACGGACGCGTATTTCGTTAAACTAGCTATTTGCCAAAACGCAGGGGTCTTTGGAATTGGGAAAATTCCTATCCAAAAACAACTGAACCTCAAGCACACCATTTGTTAGAAAATGGTAAGTGAAAGAATATTCTCAGAAAAACTGGTTGAATCTATTGTTCGATTCCGCCAAATTCGCCTTGTGTTTTTTTGTATAAATAGGAGTTTTCAACTTTCCAATGCTAACAACATCCTTCAGAGTCGACTTCTTTCTCTCTGAGGCTAGAAAGTAAAAGATTCTCCGAAAGGTTACAGAACCCTTCTAAAAATTACTCGTTCGAAGAATCGCTACCTTGAGTATTGGAGCACTTGTAGTGCGTTTTCGAATACAGTTCTTACATATAATGTTAACGGCCTTCTTCAAAACCAATTTGTTTCAGCGTTTAAGTCCAAAGGAAGTGCGAGATCATAGCATCAGAAGTTTTCGAGCAGAAATATGAGGAAGTGAACATATCTGTCCTTCACTTCATCCTTCCCGTACTCCAGTACATTCGCTCCCTCCATCGGCACGGGAGGAATTTGTTATTGGATCTCCTCCTCTTGACAGTTACTTCTTCTCAATGGTACTAAGAAGCAATTTCTTTTCGAATTGTACATGCACGTAAGCATTCATACAGAACTTTCCAATTTCAAAATATTTTGTTACAGAAAAGCAACGAGACGATGAGCATTTCTTATTGGCTCGCAGTTCTGCTGGTTTGTTTCCTACTTTTACGAGAAAGCCTCTCTGATATGCCATCGCGGCGTTTTTTAGATATGTGCTCTATACGGTATTGGATCGGCATGGTATTCGGATTACTGTAGTTCATACAACGAACCGTACTCATGCTCATGGCCGTGGGGAAAATAATTTAGCCGGGCCTCAATAAAAGCTTATTCATCACATATTTGCAATTAATTATTAGTTTGTCCAAACTGATTTTCAAACTTCGCATAGCAGATTAAAAAAATACAAAATGATCGCACTGATTTCGAAGGTGCTACCTTCTCTGAACATTAATTGTTAGATGAAAAAAGGACAAGATGGTCACACTACCAATCTTCATGGTACAGGATACGGCGCATTTCATCTTTGGTTGGAACATAGGGCAACTGTGAAGCAGATGGGCCCTATATCAGTTTATCGGCTCATGAAGGTGTTGAGGAGAATGTGGTTCTCTCATTAGAGTGGCACGACAACACTAGGCCAACATTTAGACGGTTCGAGGACCTAAAAAACAAAAATGACTCACTCGAACCACGTCGGAGAGACTTCTGCCCGCAAAATCAGTCTTGCGATCTTCGTAAACGGATGATGACACATGAGATCGAATCGTGGAAGTAGCTTTTGACGGGATATTGCTGAAAATAATTTTTAGCCAGCGATAGCAAAAATAATCAAAATTCAAGTCGCACGAAAATCCCAAGCCATCGTGTGCACTATTAGCAATTGTTATTGCCTTCATTTCTTTATGGGGACCAAATTAAGATTGCGAAGCACCTGCGAGCATATTTGGCCTATACAAAGGACACGACGCAGTTTTCTTAATGACAAACGAAACGCGCATCTAAGAAGAACTTAAGTACGGGAAGGCTGGAGGCTGGTTGATTTGATGGGGTTGGATTGAGCAGCTGATCTACAGGGCAGCTTTGGTAGCATTACAGCCCCATTCTATGTTACGAAAGCAGCTTTTCACGTCCACGTACACAGAGCTTGTTCCTTAGAACTTCTCAAAAATATCTGAAAACTTTGTAACTGGAAATAACGACCGCTTATTCAGAAAATTGAAAGAACCACATGCCGTAGTGTCAGCTCTGTGAAGATTTTCCTAGCAAACTCTTCAAGAAAGTCGGCTGGTTGATTTATTCAAGAATAGATAAGGTGCAACCTAGAGATACATGTGCGTAGACTACCGAGCATACCGTAATGCGTTGCGAACGTGGCTGCTCGCCTCGTCCGTAATGCTGCGGAAACGTCGGCGTTGTTCCTGGACGATTTTTGCATGCGCCGACCGAATTCCTGGAAGAAAGAACGTCTTTGGAGATTATGAGGTCATCGGTTGGCATTTACTAAACACGCTCAATCGGCATCTATAATCAATCAATTAGAGGGAAAGGCCATAGCCACATTAGGAGTATTGAGTGTTTTGCCTTGAAAGCTTTCCAATCAAGGGGAACGGTCAAATGAACCACGAAGGCAGGGAATACGATAATACGGTGTCTATTGTAAAGGGAACTAGGCTAAGATCTGAAACGCGGGACTTCCGCATCAAAGGGCACGTCCGAAGCAGCCTACCGAGGAGTAGCCCTGGTGATCGCCGCCTTCGTGGAGAGCCACGCTTCCTGGTTGCAAGCTTGGCTTATGATTGGTTGATGGTAAGCGATAGAAGTGGTGACGAAATAGGCGGGTGAAGGAGTCTCATTCCCCATGTTATTGTGTTCCCTAAGTTTGTTCTTCACCACTCTACTGTTTGCCATCTTATTATGCAAATATAAAAAAGTGGATACAGGATTTGGTTGAAATGAGTAACTCGGGGAAAGAGACGTCCATGGACAGGGAATACCTTAGCTCTTCATGATGAGAATAAGTGCATTGGTCGGCTATTCCAAAGAGCTGAGAATTCTCAGTTGCACTATAGGGAGAAGGGTATGGTTTCTAGTATACTGTAGCCTACAGGAATTGTACACAGTTGGCCAGGATTTTGGGTATCTGTACGACCAATGACCGTTTCACGACGTCCCCTCCATCTCGTACATCCCTTCGTTAGGGTGCCATTTCGCAAATAAAAGGGGGTTGCATAAAACTGAAAAGACGTACCTCTGTTTAGTAAAGTGAAGATGAGTGGGTAAGCGACGCAGCTGACGTACGGCAGGAGGTGGATGAAGTACGAAACGATGATCACTAAAAAAAAGTTGTTGGTATTGGATAATTCACAGCGCAGTCCACTTCTTTGACAAGCACCCTTCCATCCTTTGTACACCCGCCCTTTGATATACTACAATTTGTGCACTCATTGTGGGCTGTGGGGCTTAGGGACGCTGTGGAAGGAAGTCATCCTCACTTCTGCTCCCAAACATTAGTCCAACTATTGAAATGTCCGTTCGGGGCGGTCTAAGATTGCTCTTGTCTAATATGAGAGCGCTCTCCTGGAAAGGGCGAGATACGAGGTCCAGCTTCCCTAACTTAAGCGAGGCTAGTTCATGATTTGTTGTGCTTGTATAAAAATGGTCTTCACGCCACTCAATTAAGTTTTTTCTCGTGTAGCTCCTCAAACCAGCAGCCCCCTATTCATTATGAACGCTTTTAAGGCGATTAAAGGTGGTCGGATTGACTCTAGAGCTGGGAAATCACTCACTGCTCCTCTTTTCCATCGAGAATATGTTATGAGCAAACATCGACACCCAATACGGAGTCCAGCAGAGAACGTAGATAGCCGTCAAGAGTAGCACCGTCGTGATCACCTTACGTAGGGCTGCATCCATAGAGCTGAAACTTTGACTAAAATGGCCACATCAATGAATTATGCCAAAGCGAGTGATTCGAGGAGAAATCTTCATCGGTTACTCTAGCGTTGAAAAAAAAATGCTTTCGCTCGACCTTCCCTATCAAAAAGCCAGCATTATAAACAGATTGTAGGAAATTCAAAGTCTGTAGCTGCCGTACTGATGGAGCACTGTCAGTGTTTTGTATCGTATACTATTCCTTATTTAGCTCATCACACAATTGAAGCCAGTGATTTTCAACTATGATGTTGTGTCCATAAACTGCGACTGCTTACACTCAGGAGAGTCTCGACACCGTTATGTATACGAAACTTTTTCTTTTCCTTCCCG